CTTTCGTTCTCACGCTCTCTAACTCGAGAGAATCACTATCAGCCAAAAAAAGGCAATCCGATCAGTTTATGGGCGTCTTTTCTTACTCGATCTTCAAAAATGGCTCAACCCTCTCCAATAACCCTCGATTAGCCTAAACTAAATTAGGTGGGATCATCGATGCGGAATCGAGGAGGAGGTGGGTCCCGGGGGGATTTTCTGGAGGAGCCCCCTCCACTCCTAATTAGACGATTCGCCCCCTGGAAGATGGGGGAACTAGCATCTTCTGGCAGGGATTGGAGGGCAGGTGGCAGGCCAATCGGCCCCGACTGCCGAGCCGGTAAAAAACGAACTGCTTTTGTGCCAGTTGAGGCGTGAAATTTGGGGACAAATGGACTGGTTGGAGACGGGGGGTGGAGGGGTAAGGGGAAAGGTATCGAAAAAGGCACACTAGAAACGTAAAATAAACTAGTGAATTTCCTACACTCCTTGGAATGTCGAGACTTCCTGATCGGGGCAGCTAATAGAGAACTTTTGACAAAACTTTCAATGGAGTTTCAATGAGTCAAGGTATCAATGGAAAAGGTGAGCGAGCAAGTTTTAGGCCCGATGGCAATACTGTGGCTCCAATAACATGAAAAACAATACTTGTAGCCATTTTTATCCCAAAGACAAGCTGGAGCTAATATGTTTATGCATTCGGTATTCTCCCCCAACATGCGTTACCTTGCCCCCTTTCATCCATACCGATACCCATGCCCTGACCCGATTTCCCCCCGTTTTTACGATCAACCAATGCGCCCAACCCTCCTTGGAAAAAGAAGAACAAGTGAATAATAGTAGAATCATCTGTCGATTCATTCGGTGATCTCCGGAATGGATGAATCTCCGAATGATGCGCCAAATGGGACACCGTAACACAGCGACATCTACACATTATAACGGATGGAAAGAGAGCGGCAAAGAGAGAGAGAGAGAGAGAGAGAGAGAGAGAGAGAGCAGGAGCGTTTGAGTGAGAGAGAACTAATATCACGTAAAATAAATGGGATGTCAAACATCTGGGGTAACGGGCGGGTGGCTTTCAGGTCGTACCTTGGAACGTCGTGTAGTTTTGAAGGATATTCTGGGTTGTTCATTAATTTATAGCCATCTTAAAACTTGTTATAGACCTTCTGAGGCTTTTTCTTTTTTATTTAAAGCGATAAATCGAGCCATTCCCAGTCTGGATTTTGGCAGCTATGGGAGACACCAAATTACGCATGAAACTCGAATGGATTTTTGGTGCATCCTCAGATTTCTTGATCTTAAACGTATTTTGGTGTTGTTTGGAGCTATTGAGAGCCTAGCTAGCGGAAGGGATCGATTTAGGAGTTGCTTTTTACAGAAAATTATCAAAATTTGAACACTTTGGCCAATTTCTTAAAGTAAAGGGTGCAGAAAGACATCCCTTTAAAGTTTAGTATGTTTCAACAGCTGTCTCACCCAAAACTACCACTTTTAATTAGCATTTTCAGGCTCCTTGTCGAGTCCACGCGACCTCATCCATCTTCGACCTATGCCCATTATCCGAATGGGCCGTTCCCTCCCCGGCTAAAATATGTACTGCCGAAGCCCGCTGCTGCTATTCCATATGCTCGAGTTGTGCTCCCTAGAAGATGCCTGATGACAAGCTAATGGCCGGTCGGAGTGTGTGTACGTCTGTTCGTGCAGACGCACACAACGAAGGAACCAAGGAAAAGGAACCTCGGAAGACGAGATAATGAGATGCTGACAAGAATGGGGCACCATGCGGCGGATCAGCAGCACCAACCACGGGGGGGAGGTTGCGTAAAAACAAGATGTCTACCAGGAGGGGGAAGTCGTGTTTGGATTTGGAACTTTCAGGAGTGTACTTCAAGGTCAGGTTTTTGAGGAGCTTTGGAGTCGAAATAGTCGTTTGGGGCCAAGTCTATCTTGTACAGATTTTCGGGCCAAATCTGAATCCGAAATCAGAATTTTCATAATAACCGTATTGTAACTTACAGCGGCGTACTTCAAGCTCATGGACTTTGAGGAGCGTAGAAGATGAAATATTTCTGAGCATGACTGCTGTCTCACGACAATTCGACGGTACCTATCCCGCACCAAATTAATGCTGATTCCTCTCTTGCTCAGAATTTTTGGAAAACCCAACAATCAAAAGTTGCAACGCTTTTAGGAAATGTTAAATTAATGAATTTTTGCCCCAAAAATGCATCTTAACTTTTTCAAAATGCCGGTTATCAAAATTCTAATCCCAGATTCGGAATCAGCGCGTATTTCTGATCACGATAGGCCAAGTTATAACCAAAAACACCAACGATATGCCAAAGAAATTTGGCATCTCAAGCTAGAAACTACGGTAGCACACTCCACTCTGAAACTCCACCCAGAATTCATTTTCAGGTATCTTCTGAATCGTTTCATGACGCTACTCGACCTCCCCAGATGAATCCTTAATTTTACGATCAGTATACGGTGGCTCCTCCGGGAGGCACCTTCGGGTGAACATCGTAAATTTCGACCTCGGCTATTATGACAGTTTGGCTGTGAGGGGGTGAGTGCGGGATAGATGCCCGTTGATATGGGCTCAAAAGGGGGTAATTATGGTTTACGAACACATCCACTGTCCACCACCAACACTCACAAGGAGGGTCGATACAAGGAATGTCTCGATCAAGAAGATCTGATGTCGTCATTTAGGATTTGGAGGGATCGGAAAGTCGAAACCGTCCCTGGAAAAAGTTTTTTGTTCTCAGTCCCGTTTTTTATCTTATCTGAATTTAGATACCTTTAGAAATACAAATATATTTTGAATTTAAGGTTGAAAGAGCCATGTAGCAAAGGTCGGAGAGCGTGACGCAAAAAAAGTGCTTTAATGTCCTTGATTTGGGTTCGGAGGAGCGGAAAAATTCGAGTTTCGAAGAAAACGACTTTGATTCATTGATTTGTAACGGTTTTGCATACTTTTACAGTCTGCCATTACAGTAGAATACGCCCTCTATACAATCCTGAAGGAGTCAAGTACCTCGTTAACGCCTGAGGCATCAAGAGCGTGCTACCACCGGCGCGGTCAAAGGCGCTTGAGTGCCTTTCATCTGGCGCTAATCCCTTCATCCACCTCTTTGCCGCCCATAATTGGACGATTCGATTAACTGCTTTAAAGGGCCTTGGAGGATAAGATCGATACCACATACGAGTTACGCGATTAAATACGATGCACAATCGCAGGTTTATAGGAAATTAGACATCGAGATAATGCATTTTATCTCTAAAAAGGATTCTCTAGTGTATTAAAATATCAATTATGATTTGTAAATACCTAGTCTAGCTCATATTTTATAAATATATAAATCTTTTTACGAAATACGGTATCGCGTAAACAAATTACTTGCTAGAATAGACCCACCTACAACCCTACAAAGTACAGGCCAGACAAAACGATATTGTATCCTAACAATACGGAACGCCTCTCGCCCCAAATGATAGGCTTCGTATTCCCCACGAGCGGTTGGTCCAAGTTGGTAGTAGAGAAAATTGCTGGGTTGGCGTCGGTTTGTACGGGATGGGCCACTCGGACAGGTGCGAAAACAATTAACCCGCTGACCCTAGGGCCCAGGCACCAAACCGATGGTTACCGATTTGTTGCCGGGCTGGTAGCCCCCGGCTTTTCCTTGGCCGGGGATTTATGGGTAGGGACCTAAAGCTAGAAATTTATACAGGAAAACGTACGGAAAACGAACTCCGAGCGTTTAGAACGGCTTTACCAGTCAGTCTATTAACATAAAACTCTTAAAAAATGTCAAAGTTTCTTGTAAGTCAGTATATAAATGATACAGGCGTTTAATAAACTTCTTAACGCAGGTTCTATGCAAATTTTAGCGAAATCTGCGCTCGACTTATGGCCTTTCGGGCTCACAGGATGTTTAGAATGCCCTTAGCAGTCAGTTTGATAACTTAAAACGCTAAAAAGTGTCACCGTTTCTTTTAATTCAATTACCAGGGTTGAAAAGCCGCTTCGCGACTTTTCAACCCTGGCCCTGTCCAACCCATAATATTCTTCACTCTGCATACGTTTCTCGAATTCCCTGCATTGAAAAAATGAAAAAGGCCCCTCTCTCGCATTATATATAGGCTACGGTCACTTCCGGAGTATGCTAATTTTTCCTAACAAAGAGATCGGCCGATTTTTCAACAAAAACTTAATTTTAATGTCGAAAATCGCAGAATCTGCAACATTTGATATGCGTGCAGTCATCCCAGAACCATTACGCACCTAATGACGTATCATACGTCGCTTAATACCCTTCCCTTCTTGAGATATCTTCCGGACACCCTGACGGAAGTTGCATGCAAAGTGGCACACACACACACACAAACACACAGACACTATTTTTTTATATATAGTAGGATAAGCGATCCAAATCTTCAAAATACCCTTTTGCGCTAGTATGATGCAAATTGAAAAAAACATCTGCAAGTCAGGTACGACCGGCTACTAACGACACACAAACCCTGCCGCCGCCTTGGAAAGAAACAGCATTCCATTGTGTAATTGTGCACTGCAAGTGCAAGTCCAAAAAGTGTGAAAGAACAACTTTTGAAATCAAATGTTCTTGCGGATACGACGACTGTCGAGTGTAGTTGAAAGGTAGGTTTCATAAGCTCAAAATAAACAAAGAAAAAAACATGCAAGGCGATCATTCCCAACAGTAAAGAACGAATTGCGTCTCTTTTCAAATAATTATTGTTTTTAGTTATGAAAAAAGTTGGATATTATAAACTAGCATCGTGACCATTATCAAAATTTCAAAAATGATATGAAAGGCAAGAAATATAAAATAACCCTCTGCACAACCAAGCATTTGCGATTAGAAGCTCCATAACAAACCTAGTTCATTAATGTTTGTTTTTAGCGCGTAAGATTGCGCGTTTCCCGCATTCTAATAAATTCACAAGATTATTATAACTTTGCAATCTTTCTTTTTTTCAGATAGCCAAAAATGCCGAGGGGACCCGGCGGCGAGCCTGCCCCAACGACACCACAACAAGTTGCCCTGAAGTACTTCCTGTCGTGTTCAGCAGCTTTGGTCGCGGAGACAGGTAAATAGTATTTTTACTCTTTATAAAATGTTCTTTCAGTAACCTACCCTCTGGACATCACAAAAACACGACTCCAAATAGTGCGCCATGGCCCGCACGGGCATACAAGTAAAGCAACAGGGATGATGAGCGTCACTTATGATATAGGTGAGGCGAAACCCTTTTAATGCTTTGAAATATACATTTTTTTAGTAAAAAACGAAGGCGCGATGAGCTTATGGCGCGGCGTCGCACCTGCAATCTATAGGCATTATGGCAGGTTTTTCGCTTAATCAAATAACGATAACTTTAGTTTATACGGGTATTCGAATGGGCGCCTACGAATTCATGCGCGCAAAATGGAGGGAAGAGCACGAGAAGACGTTCCCAGTTTGGCAAGTATTATGTTTAAAGTATTACTTTGCTTTTTAGGAAGTCTATGGTTTGCGGTCTCTTCTCAGGAGCCGTCGCCCAGTTCTTTGCCAGCCCCACGGACCTCGTGAAGGTGCAAATGCAGATGGAGGGGCTCAGAAAGTTGCAGAATTTGCCGCCTAGGTAACTCGAACTCATTTTCTGATTGTCGTTTTTAGATACACTGGCACCTTTGACGCATTTCGAGCCGTCTACCGATCTCACGGCTTTTTCGGACTTTGGATGGGCTGGGTGCCGAACTGCCAACGGGCAGCGCTTTTGAATATGGCTGGTAAGGTGTTGTAAACTTTTTTTATCGGAATTTTACCAGATTTGGCAACCTACGATCGTGCGAAACACTGGCTGCTCGCGAACACCGGGCTAAAGGACAATTTATGGACCCACGCAATTTCTAGTGCTTGTTCGGGTAGTTTAGCGTATTTTTACCAGAAAAATTTTTTAGGATTAATGGCGGCAATCGTCAGTACCCCTGCCGATGTTGTGAAGACTCGAATGATGGATCAAATACGGCATCTACACGATTCTGAGTGAGGTTTCTTGACAGAAAACATGATATTCCATTTTTTCAGCCCAAATGGAAAACCATCAAAAATGCACAAAGGAAGCATCGACTGCCTGATGCATATCGTCAAACGCGAGGGCTTCTGGGCATTGTATCGCGGATTCTTGCCTACCTATATAAGAATGGTGCGTTTTTCTAAACGTCTCGTAAACCAGCTTACCACGCGATTTTTAGGGTAATTCTTTTTTTTTTTGCGATAACTTTCTTAAATTGTAATGTTTTGACCTAGAATTAAGATTGTTAGTATTTTTTTTGAAGCTCTATCGAATCGGGTTTGAAAAATGTCGAAAAAGTTGCGAAAGTGGAAAACAATGGAAAAAAGCGAAATAACGAAAAGTTTTTGACATCCCCACCGCTAACGAACAAGGACCAAATTTTGATTTAAAAACATTTTTAGGCTCCCTGGTCGCTGACCTTCTGGATTTCCTACGAAAAAATCCGCTGGCTGACGGGAGCGCCGAGCTTCTAGAAATATTGTGTCAGATTTTTCGATTTTATCTTGTAATTTTTATACTTATTACCTTTCTCATGGACCCATACACGTGCTCAATTCCCCCGGTTAGTGCCCCGATCTTGTAGCGATTTTTGTTTGTGCCTATTTTCTAGGGATTTTATGATGTCGTGAGAATTGTATTTACCTAGGACACCGCGTTGGGCCAAAGGCTGCCATTTTCTAGGATTTTTGCCTTACTTTTTATTTGCATGAGATTTCGGTCTTCTAGCCCTTCTGAAAAGCTCTAGTCATATGTACCTGAAATAAATTTTGCAATTTCATTTATGTGAGTTTTTGAGTTTATTGTTGCTAACGAGTTCATATTTTACGGATCTACCAGTTATTACAATGTAACAATATTTGAACAGGAATTTTAAAACAAGACTGGACAAATTCTAACTCCACATTTCAGGAAATTAGATCTACAATAACAAAATGAATAATGGCCATGCCTACCCGTGGCAATTGTAAGCAAAAATGAAGAAAACAAATAGTAAGAACATCTTTAGACAGAAACCACCGCCCGTAGAGGCTCGATTTGCGGGCGAAGGCTTGCTACAAGTATTTGCGTACAATCGATTGGATTTTCTAAAAGTAAAAAATAATTTGAAACTTAAAAATTTACTTAAAGGCGCCAAACAGCGAGCTGATGGCACATTTGCAATTGATGTACACAATTCCGCTGACCGAGTGGTGTAAGGGAAAAAGAGTAAGTAATGAAATTTAATGAAAGAAGAATAACAATTTAGCCAGGATTCTAAATAAAAGTCATTGATCAACAAAATAGAGATTATAGACAGTCACAAAGCCAGAAAGTTTAAAAAATATGAATTTTCAGGTCAAAACCACAGCCCACAGTTTCCTGGAACTCTCGATGGCTTCTGCAACCGGTTTCTTTGATGGAACCGTGCTAGTAAATAACCCGAGTACGCAACAATACCTAAACATTAAGCATTGGTACGTTTCTAGAGGAAAAAGCCCGAAAAATCACGGTTTACAGGGAAATCACCTCCGCAAGTTACGTAATCCCGCCTGGCGATGAGCCATATCCGGTCATTCAGACCTGTATGAATCCGGTGGAGCCTTGTTGGGTGGCCTCAGTAAAGTATCGGTATGTATGCTTCGAGCAATCAGTTAAGACAATATTTTCAGCCCTATCAAGAACGATTACATCATATCAGTTCACGACGTCGCTCAGCCAGATCCCGACGGCGTTGGTTATAAACGTATTTTTGCGATTAGCCACACGGAGAAGCACGTTGGAGTGGCTTGGTTCTTGTAAGTTTATACAGAATCTTAAATTTAATAGAAAAAATAAGCCCGAAATATATTACAAATTCTAGTGAAATTCTATTCTAGTGATAATGCCGATATGCTCGTCGTCGTCACTTCAAAAGCCATCAGAATTTTTGAAATTAGCGCTGGCACTGAGCCAAAAGCTTCATTGTTCGTGACTTGTGGTAAGAACGTCTTTTCCTGCTTGTTGAAGTTTCGTGTTTTTTTAAATACGTAGTCCTTATTAATAAACCAATGAAGATCCTTAAAAGATACCTTAAAAACAGGAAAACTTTCCAGAACTCTTCTCGGTCTGCGTCAATCCACATAGAGCCACCGTTTTCGCGTGTCTCATCAAGGACGCTGTGCTTATCTTTGATCGTCGCCTACTATGGTGTCCAACTCATACGCTACCATTTCGACGCAGGGTAAAGAATACTAGAAATTCAAAGCTACCAATGAATTTAGCAAAAACCCGGCCAGCGAAATCAAATCCGCTTCAACCCGATGCGAGGTGACGAGATCTTTCTTCAAATCGGACACAGCACGACGGTGTCTAGGCTGTTTATCAGCTCTCCTGGGGATTTTCATTTTATGGTGGGCACGAGCTGTAGAAAAAGGAATTACTTCATCTTTTAGTCAACTCCACCGCATCGAGTGCGTTCTGAAAGTAGCTATCTGGAGCTGTCCGCGTTGGCTGATGAGGATCGACCTCCGACCCAAGCTTTTATAGAGAAAAGGACGGACTTGTGGGTTAAACATTTAATCTATAACTTAGTTTCAATAAAATAAAGATTTATTGGAATTTTTCAGTGCTCCATCCGGTCCGAAGGGAGTTGAGAAGCCTACAAAAGTACCGACTTTCGCTGAATTACCCCCAGAAGAAAAGGAAATGGCCCATTGCTGGGCTCGGCTTTATGCGGATACGAAAGGCGGGAAACGGCCGTCTTTTAGAAAGAGGAAGGTAGGCCAAAAGTTCCCAATCTTGACGATTTTTTGAATTTCAGGTCACTAAAGCCTGCCGGACACGTTCTGTCTCTCCTAGAAAAGTAACGGATCACCTTCATGCTCAAAAGCGCTCTTCCTCCTGCATCCCGGCGTTTAAGGTCAAGAAGAAGAAAATCGTAAGCAGATTTCTGAATACTGATCATCCTTCAGAATCTGCGCAAAATCACGGTCATCCGGAACATCGACCGGCCTGGAGCTCGAACTTCTAGGAGTAGTTTTTCTAGGTAATACGGAAGCATATCTAACCTTTAAAATCCTCAGTGATACCTTGGCTCGTCCGTCAACAGATCGAAGAGCCTCTACCTCACTCGCTGAAGATTTGGCGAAGAAACGGAAAGAGGAAGAAGCTGCAAAGCTGCAAAAGAAAGCCAGGATTGCGGAGGAGCGGATGAGGAAATTAAGGGTAGGCTGTAGAGGTCAGCCAGTCAGTCAAGAACTGTAGATCGCTCACAAACTAGCTGCTCGAAAAGCTCGGATCCGGAAAGACTCGCTAGCTCGAAGAATGCACGAGATGAACATCAGGCAGAAGATTACGGTGCGCCAAAATCAATCGCTAATTTTTGAGAATTTAGTTCCCAAATCTGCGGCGTCTCGGGATGTTCGAGTTTTCACCGTTTAGCGCGGCGGTTATCGGGTGTGGTATTGATCGCTTTAAGCGGTTCCATTTGGATACAATCATGGTATGAAGCGTACCCTAACAAATATATAAGTATTTTCTAGCCAATCGAATATCCAGATACATGGGGCGCTGACAAGTACTCGAGTTTGACCATCAAAAAAGTCAGGTGAGCTAGAAGCTACAGGCTGTCAAAAACAAAATTTCCTGTAGATTCTGTTCGGTGTACACACTAATGGGACGCGATATGTACAAACTAGCAGTCGATCGAGCAAAACGCGGTGCTGTCAACTTTTCGGTGGAGCCGGGTGTTGATCGGCTGATTGGTAAGACCAAATTTATATACTTCTCAATCATCCCTTTCAGACATGAAGCTCAACTCCCTCGACATTTTCATGGAGTCCGCTTCCCCAAGACACCAACTCTTTTTCCATTGGTACTCTCTGATCTTTGATTTGGTGCACAGCTCGAGACCGCTACCTGAAAAACCGAAGAAGCCAGGTTTCGTAAACAGCCTTAAGAATTCAACGGTGTCTTTTCAGCCGCGAAGAAGCCCGAGCCTGTCCCGGTACGTCCGGTACCGTATTCACAACCTCGAAGGAAGCTGGACAGCGAATTCGGTATCACAAAACTTTACGGTTTTTGATATCACGATTTTTAGATGCCTGCTCGGTCTTGACGTGCGTTAGCGAAGAGTCGATCGTTGAAAGCAGTTCCGAAGGGGAGCACAGTTCCGGTGATGGGTGGGTATTTTGCTTGCCTTTAAACATACCCAAAATACTTGCCAAAATGAGAAAATTTCAGGTCCTACGGTACTGACGATATCGACAAGGACTCCGCTTCCGATACTGCAGTAGAAGAGGATACACCCGCGCCACGACCCGAGCTGGCCTTCTTCGAGTTGAGGGGGTAGACTTCATGATCAAAAATTGGATATAAATATCGTACTTTAAGACTCCCCGGACTCATCCAACTTGCCAGTCACCCTCCTACAAAAGCCGAAAAGTTTGACAATGGTCCATTTGGAAATATTAAGGTCAGTAACATATAGAGAAAAATGAGAAAACTCGACTTTCAGCTGTACACCGGGCCCGAGCGCATTGCCATCCTGCGTAGTGTCGGCATGCCAAGCCCCTACGAGCGGAAGGCCATCCGGAAGATCGCACGAAAATACTTCGACAAGGACAATGAGGACTTCCGGCCTTACACCTGCATCTTTATTGCAATGATGTATGGGGCGTACAATGCGGTTAATGAGGTAAGACTCGAGTTTTCATGCCTGGAGCCGGAATCCAGATGTTCGACGAGCTTGTGGCAGCCTATGGAAAGCAGTTTGTGCCTGGGTCGATTGACGACAGGACTGGAGGGCCGATTGGTAGGTCGAGGAACATCAGGCGGGCAACCTAGCGTTTTAGGACAATGTCGAAGTATTTGCGAGATGTGGACAAAATTCAAGGAGATGCAATCGAGAACTAATCAGAATGTAGGTCAAGGTGAAAAGGAGCAAAACATCTTCTAGGAATTAACCTTCAACCTCACGCGCTGGATGGCCAGGCACAAGGAGCTAACAAGAGCCAAAGCCCAACCTGAACTTCATGCTTGTCTCTACTACATGGCTGCCGTACTTGATAGAAGGAGAATGGTAGAACATCGTCAGATGCTGTGCACTGGATTGGTAAGCTGCACTGTTAGAGTGTACATCCCCTTCTTTAGCAAATGCCAATCTCGCTCCGCACCGCCTTCTGTGCCTTGTACCTGCCCAAGGACGACCTGATCCAGGCGTTTTGCATCCAGATGCGACAGGCCTCTGACCTCAGCAAGCTAGTCTTTGTTGGACTGGGACCGCATCCGGATAGTATTCAAGTTGTGTTGGAGTAAGTAATGAGTGCTATACGAAAAAAACGAAAAATCTAGGCACGCTGATGCGACTCAAGACTGTCAATTGGCTACCTTTTTGCTGTTGACTGGGGAATGTATCGCTACTCCTGTTAATGACCCCGAATTGGTACAGCGGTTAGGATGAAGTTCAAAAACCAAACATTTAGGCACAAGACCACGTGAGGGAGACAAAGGTCACGGAGATGTCGAAACTCTACCCGTCGCATTATTTGAAGCACGAGAAGGGACATGAGTAAGTTGTCTCAAAAATTTTTGAAGCGTCACAACTTTAGAAAGCTGTATCAATCCAGAATGAGAGTGATCATCGATCGCTACCTGAACGTCTTGACGTCGGCGAAGCTACACATCATGCGCTGTGCCTTACATGGGTTGCTGTATCCGCCAAAGCAGAGGAAGGACGCTTGGGTAAGTAAAATTGACACTTGGAACACCCATTTCTTCATGGAAAAGTTAACAAATCTTTATAGTGGTCCATCTCGTGCTCCTACTGCTACGAGCCAATCGTCGGCGCGAAGCAACATGCCCTTGACATTCAACAGGAAAAGGATGAGGCCAGAAGGAGCGAGAGGTTGCGAACGGTAGACCTGGCTTTCAGACGAGATTATATTTGCTCGATTTTTAGCTAGCCATGGATCACCGTGAAGCCCGGACTTCAGATGAGCAAGCTGGAATCAAGGTCCCGACCCGAACGGGCCACAGTGCGATGAGCCATCCTTATGTTGATGCGGTAAGTGACTTCAGGGTCATTAAATAGTGCGCTTTAGACAAAAATCATCCGCTCTATGTGCTGTCCAATGCCGATGTGCCGGCAGCAATATCCAAAGTGCTCAATTTGTCTTCGCTCCTATGGAACACCGATTATCGGCTACGATCACGACATGGGATATGAGGGCGCGCACGCTTTCGCGTTTTGCTTGGTAGGCTTCGAAGGAGTAGCTCAACATAAAAATTCAGAGATGTGAACACGGTGGTCATGGTGGTCATATGATGGACTGGTTCAAGTCGTCGGACAAGTGCCCAATTTGTGATTGTCGGTAAGCAGGGTGTACTTGACGAGAAAATGGCAAAAATTCAGATGCATCGAGTACAAAGACTTGAATCCTGTTCCTGTAACGAAGAAGCAAGACCTTTGGACCCGAGGGCTTCATGCAAAGGTATATCTTTTCAGGTTTCATTCAAAATTTGAAAAAACCATAATATCAAAATTCACAATGTAGGAATTCATAATGTCGAAATTCTGAATATCGAAATTTACGTAAACTAATTTTTCCGGAAAAACTTTGCAAAAAAATTCCTTTACAAAAAATAGGACACTATGAATTTCAACATTATGATGGCAAAACTTCGTTTAATGTAACCCAAAATTGTAAAACTACTCTAGAGCGACGACGAACTACAAGAATGGGTCGACAAAAACCAGCACCTGCCGCTAGTGAGAAGAATGATCGTTCCGGCTATGCCCGAAAAGGAAGACTGCTGTATGAAATAATTTATATCCTGCTTTCACGTGTCTTTAAAGTGCCATTCCATAGCTACGGTTATTGTTTTTGTATATATTTATCTTGTTAATAAAAACTGGCTAATCGAAGGGCGAATTGAAACCCTGGGGGCAGCTGGTACTCTTTGATAGCACCTAAAAATTTGCAAATAACTTAAAGAAGGCTTACCTCATGGATATAATTGGTTTGCCGATCCTCGCAGCTGCTTTGCAAAAGATTAATGGCCTGGGTGCGCAGTTGGACGAGGTCAAAGTATTCGGCCTCCTAAAATGCACAGATATTACAAATTAAGCTGCAACTACTCCTATTATACGATACGACGACGATACAACTATAGAAAACGCAAAAAACATACTACTACGAAATACCTGTGTCAACATTGCCAGCCGATCCGGATCTTTTGGCAAGCATGCTTCCCATAATTGGCCTGACGATTTCAAGCGGAAATAGTTGAGGATAATAGCAAAACTGAAAATCGAGAACCTTTACTTTGACTCAAATATAAAGTATCACAGCTAGGTAGCTTAAATAAGACCTTGCTAAAATATAGAAAAGCCCTAAAATTTAGTCTTGTAAGCTCACGATTTCGGGTCTCGATCGATAAAGAATTCATTATCCCGGACAATAAATGGAACGTCTTTCGTTCCGGCGACAAACCACTAGAAAGTACCTTAAAAATCAAAATAGTTTCCACATGCCCTACCTTGTAAAATACAGTCTCTTTTGGGAACGTTTTCCTAAACGTGGCAAACTTTTTGCCACCTACGTTAAAACATATTACATCTGTTGGAAGGCCTATCATCTGGAAACAGATATGGAAAATTAGAAACCATAGAAAATTAGGGAAGCTACGAAGAATTCTTAAAACGTGAATACTTCGGAAAAACGGAGATAACCAAAAATCCTTGCATCTGACTGACTCGGAGAAAAATCGATGCCATTAAAAATTTATATTCATAGGACTGGGCGGTTGCATAGCGAATGACAATAAAAAAAGAGAAAGGATGGAAAGAGACGACATCTAGCTCGATTTTTTTAAAGTGAGATACATAATGTAGAAATTCCTAACGCCAAAAGCTGATAGTGTCGAAATTAATCCCAAAATTTCATAATTTCGAAATTTCAATATCTCGACTTTTTTTTGCATAGAATTTCGTGGCTTTTTTCGGGAGAAACATTTCGACAGTATGAAATTTTGGAGGTTTTTCGAGATCTGATTCGTTGTGGGACGCTAATGTTGAGAAGACGGAGAAAAATTTGATTTCGATTTGAAAATTTTCTGAATTTGAATAGTTTTTTTACATTAAAGGGAATACATAGTTAATTTTTACTATCCTAAAATCGGTGCGAAACGTTTTTACGTTGAAAAAGTTGGTTGGTACTTGGAGACGCCCGCGTGTTTATTGGGGCGCGAATTTATGCAATTTTGAGGAGGTCGTGGTGGTGGTGGTGGAAGGGTAGTGGGATGGGGAGACCGAGAAGCCGCGGGGGGGGGACACTCAACGAAATGGAGGCCCTTCCTCCCCGAAAAAGGGCACAATATAGACTGACACGAAAACGACCCGCTGGCCAGGCAGGAGAGATCGAGGGGAGGAAGCAGCACACACACTGGGATTTGGCCACGCTTTTCCGGCAGCTTTGTCTAGTCGTGGCAAATGGCTGGGCTGCGTGTGAATTTCGTAATCCCGGGGACAAATGATGGGTTTTAGGGCGTCATTAAGTGATTATAAGAGATGATAATCTCGATCTCCATGATCAGTCTCGGATTTTAAAGATTAACTTTTGAATTTTCAGCATCGTATTTGCAAAGAGAAATCCAACGCCATCCATTTTTTCGAGTTATTACCTGCTGACCAATCTTTGCACCTCGAGACGCGCGGAACTGCTAATAATTAATTTGCTTGCGCTAAAAACAATTAGAGATATGTGTAGCGTCGACTATGTTAAAATTTCTTTGAATATACAACGCTACAACGAAAGGAAATAATTGCGAAAAAATTGGGAGGTAATGCTGGGAGCCAAAAATCGATGCGGATGGGGAGGCGCTCATCCGTCGGCCAGGTGTAGTGGGACCAGTTCCTGGATCAGGATTTTGGTCGAGTAAGCAGGATTTTGGTTGGCAGCCATAATGACTATATTAGGAACGGGTAAATCAGTTTGTAAGCAAATTTTGTGCTAAAATTTGTTCTAAAAGAACGAAATTTTGGGCATGAGAAAAGCTACAAGCTAACGAAATGGCTATACCATTCGAAATTTGTTTAACTTCATTAGGGCCTCGAAAATTACTGAAAAACGATACCTGAAAATTCTAGGCAATTCGTTTCAGACAATTTCAGCAAAAACGTGGAAATCCATATTGCCGTAGCCACAGATGTGCATCGAGAATAATGGGCAAACATAGCCCGATTTTTTGGGGCGACGCATGTGTTTGTTTGCATGCTGCTCGTAATTGTGCCAATTTTCAGCGGCTCGTGCTCACTTGTGAGGCTCTCAATCGTGTCGTGCTTCCGCAAAACGCTTTATTGTATGCTCCACATGTACAGCACTTGACAAAATGCGTGTCCCGTATACGATGATGATCGGCGGTTGGTAGGGGGTGGGGGCGGTACTGGTTGACGAGGTTGTTAGAGAAGAACCGAGTCCTAAATAGGCGTTTTTTGAATGAAACTAATTTGTTATTGAGGTATCTCATCGTAGATTAAAAGCAGTCACTTTAATTCGTGAATTCGACGTGAAAATTAGGTTATTAGATCTTACAATCAATTTTTGTAGGAATAGAAGCATCAAAAGTTGCTTACCGGTGGCGTAGAAGTTAACTCCACGCAAGAATCCACTTTTGTAGTAAGATCCAAGGTATATTCATTCGTGGTATCCATTCCATTACTGGTGATTGGGTATTTTGATTCTAGCATGTCCAACTAAAAGAAAGTAAAGATCAATTTTGAACCAATCAGGTAAGTTTTTTTAAATTTTAAGACATACCTTTCTTCTAGTTTTACAAATACTGCCGACTGCACAAAGAAATATCGCAAAACAGCATATTATAAGCGGGGCGACGACACTAAATGAAATTTTTTATCGATTTTGTAAAAACGAAGACTAAGACTTAGCTTAAACCAAGCCTCAGTCTAAAACCTAAGCCTAAACCGATGTCTAAGCCTAAGTATCTCCTTACCTCAACAAAAACAACACATCTGTATTATCGGTAAAATTGCTCAGAATCGACGTGGTCGCATTCTCTGACATCGGTTTGGCATCGAATTCTGAAAAATGCAAAAGTAGGGCGGGCTTGAAAAAACTCGAAATCGAGGAAAAACAAGACGAAGCGCGGATGTGGGGGTGAAATTGGAGATGCTTTCAATCTGGATTCTCGACGGATCCCACGACGAGGTTCTGGTAGGGACAAAGGAAATCACAAACAAGAGGGCGCTTATTTTGTTGTATAGGGTCATCATTTTCGCAAGATTTTTAGAAATTCTCATTTTTTGAAAATATTACTTTTACAAAATGTGCTCTTTGAAACAGTGTTCTTCGAAAATTGGTATTTCAATCAATGACTATGCGAAGATATGATTTTCGAAATTCTTATTTTGGCTTTACAAAAATATTATCTTGAAAAACTGATTTCACGATAACATCAATTTCGAACAATTGATTTTTCGAAAATACGACTTTTCAGAAATGAACTTTTGGCCACTGTGACTGTCGCAAATCCGACTTTTCGTAAAGGTGACTGTCGAAAAGTTGACGGTTAAGCCTAGTTTCCACATAGCTTCGGAAAAGATTTGCAAAAGCGTGTTGCGTGTTTTTTGGCCTTCGGGATTACGCAGACTGGCCACGCTGACCGGGCTACTCGAAAACAATTGCGGGGCTTCACGCGCGCGCCCAGGTGGCCTTTTGATAGGGGTGGTCAACCAAAAAATCGCCACGGTAAATAGTCTGAAAAAATTCGGGAGCTTTCAGAATTGAAGAACTTCATGCTTCGTAGGAAAGATAGCACATGGGCTAGAAGTAAAATGGTGGAATTCTTGGTAAACCCCACTACCAGGAATAATAAGAGGCCACCCCTCATTTTCTGCATCATTTACATCTTCGCCTGGCCTCATTTTACGAAAATTTCGCCAATTTCAAAAGCGAAATTGGTATCCTCTTGGAAATAGAGGAAAATTGGAGGCTACGATAGATGAGTCGAAACCAACCCAGAAGTGGAGAAGCGGGAAGCGAAACCTAGGGTATTGCCTAGGTGATGCGCCAGAGTCATACCGTCAGTCGTGAAGTTGAAAAATTAGGCGCGGCAGGTTTTTGTGAATTTAGAAACTTAAGGAATGCACCTGATAACTTTTGGAGGCTTGGAACAAGGGCAGATGAGGTAATTTAAATGTATTTGAAAACAGGCAAGCAACCTTAAAATTTACGCAGTCAGGGCGACGGTTTCGTCAAGTTTTTTTTTGAAAAGAAAGCTTTTTCTGAGAAGAATCCAATTCTGCATCAAAAGCTCATCCAAATTCCGGGTGGGCGTATCATCTTGATGCTACCGGGAAGCCAAATGTGGCTTAAAGGTTTTTGGCACATCAGAGCAAACAATGGCTCCAGGATAGAGGGTGGGGTGAGGGCAATTTTAGTGCTGCTAGGGCGGTATTCTGCCTCCATTCAGGGATCTATGGAATCTGGTAGCTTCGTCGTCACTGTGTCCCAAAATTACGGTATTTAGGGCAGGCACGACCCCGACTTCAAGACGCGCAGGAGCTCCACATATGCAAATTCAAGTTTTGTAAAAGAGTCATACGACACGGACTCGAAGACATGCATAGCTAAAACTAGCATTAATATGAAGCTTAAAGGGAGAACCTACTAGTTTTATGAATGGAAAGAACGCCCATTGCAAATTTCCGTTCTTTAGGAGCGGAATACAAGACCCTCTCGAAGACGTGCGTAGTTCGAGGTTTTATGAATGAGCTCGGGAATAAGTGAAGCTGAGCAACTCGATTATAGGATTAAAGCACATATGCAAATTCAAGTTCTCGAGGATCGAAATACGAGACCTTCTTGCAGATGCGCACTTATTCTGCGCCTTGAATTCAGAATCCGAATGCGCATTAATGAGAGCCGTAATGCTAGTCCAAATCGGAAAACCTGAATCGGATCAAAAGACGGATGCAAATCATCTCTATCATAACCTTGAATCAAGTGCTTTTTAGCACGACAACTCCAAAGATGTTAATGAAATTCGTAACACAACATCTCCTTGAAGACGTGCGCTTCTTCCAAACCACTGCCCCACCCTTGGGGCGACTTCTTGGTTTGGCGGTGCTGAATAGGTGCGAGGGGGCCCCAAGCCGCATAATAATGAGGGCACAAAGTGGATTATGTGGATGGGAGCCCCGCTAGGACCTCCTCTCTAGAAAACGGGTTCCGGACTGAAGACAAAACTTTGAAAAGGGACGCCTTTCAGGGCACATGAGGAGGGCCAGGGGGTGGACAAAAGCCCCTCAGCACCCATCCTCCTTCTTCTTCTTCTCCTTCGGTTCCCAGGGAATCAACAAGCGAGGAGGAGCCGAGTTGGCACCGGAAAAACTTGTCAGTGCCAGACTGGGAACACCACAATGGGATCGTCTAATTTTGGAAGTTGGAGGGCTAGGCGGTTCCGTGTTGGGCGTTTTGAAATTAGGCTTACACTGAGGCCTAGGATAGGGATTAGGCCTGAAGCTTAGGCGAGGGTTCTGGGAGAGCAAGAGAGAGAGAGAGCTAGAGAGGGAGAGACCGAGTGAGAGAGAGATAGAGACAGAGATCTCAATTCTGAACGTCAGGAAGTATCGGGCTTGACATTTTTTTCATATTGTCCAACTGGAAATCCGCTAGGGCTCAAATACCCCGGCCGCGCAGACATCTGATTGCTCGTGAGTCGCACTTG